ATCAGCATTCAAGGAAATCAGCAGGTTGTATTCGTTGTGTAGGTAAGTTTTTAGTATGATTCACTTTTTTATCAGAAGCCTAAAATATCCACGTCAAAAGGCAACCTTCATAAGGAGGTGCCACTCAATTTACCTGAAATGTAAAGGTGGTAACCAACCCCATCCCCCGAAAAAATCTCCTCGTAATAAACAAATAATTTTTACTTTTTTTACGAAATCAAATGGACACGTATTAGCAGGTTGTCATAAAAAGCAAAAATTTATTTTTTTTATGAAAGTTCTGAACGTTACAAACTAATCGTTACAAAAATGTTCTTTTAACAGAGATGTAAAGGTATTCGAAAGACCTTTAAAACAAGGTGCCACTCGACCTACTTTCCCTATCTAAATAAGGGTCGTCGGACGCACCCCTCCGAGGGGGTGCGTACTACAAAAAATCTTATTAGTCTTAAAGGTGTCCCCCTTTAATTAGAAATCGACGTGTCCGAGCTTTTTTTTAAAAACTTACTTTTTAAGTTTTCGTTGTTACACACTGTATATGTATGTGATGGTATATGCATGTTTGTAATTATGTATATATGTGCTGTACATTTAATTGATGTGTAAGTATTGAAATAATTTATTGGCGCTCCGGGGCGACTTCATTGATTCCAAATTTTATCCCTGTTATAAACATTCTTGTTTTTTAAGAATAATAAAGATTATTATTATTATTTATGCATTTTCATTAAATTAGCCTTAAATACCTTTCTATCTTCTCTGAATATCCACCCACTTTGAGCTCTAGAAAATGATATGCTTTTCGTAGAAATTTGAGCTGCCAATATATCAGTTGACATAAGTAGGTCTACTTCATCTTCTATTTCCATTTCACTTTCCTGGAATCAGGTAATACCACTTAAACTCTATGTTGGTAAGAATGGTTTATTAGTACAATAATTATAACATAACGAACTGAATAAAAACAGGATCACTGAGAGCTCAAAGACATAAAATGCATATCAGAACTGCTTCAAGGTTTGGAAATAAACGCTGGCACAAGTGTATTATATTTGAGGGGTACTACTGTGAAGAGGACAAAATAGAAATTAACAGATAAATATTTTTTTATAAAAATTAAAATTCACCTCATTTTTCATTCCTGTGATTGTACTAACCTTGTTAACATAATGTTATCATTTCAATTATCTATTTATCTAATACATTAGTTTATGAAGTTTTGTATCTATTCACTACATTGTTTTCACTCACACCGTTTTATGGTTATTAGTTAAATAATAACTTGACAGGTTGAAGATTCATAAATATTACTTCCGGAGTTCCTCAGGACTCCCATCTGGGACTCTTCATCTTCAACATTTATATTAACGATATATCTAGTAGTTTCCTCTACTGCGATTTTTAAATACATGCTGACGACTTGAAAGTATTCCATACTGTGAGATGTGCCAACGATCCATTCCCCATACAAAACAATATTGCTAATTTTGTGAAATTCTGCCAGAAAAACTCTCTACTCTTCAATCTTAAAAAATGCCACTCTATCACGTTTACAAGAAACAAAAATATTTACCACCACACCGATACCACATAAACAGGCAGCAGCTAAGGAAGACACCTAAAGTCAAAGACTCGGGAGTATTATATGACTCCAAACTATTATTTGACTCACATATTGACTATATTGCAAAAAAGCTAACAAAACTCTAGGATTCCTGATTAGGACTTAAACGACTTCAGAAATATTAACTCTGTACACTTTACATGGTTTATGTAAATAGTCAGCTCATTTTTGCTCCAGTTATATGGAACCCCCTGTATATATCGTATATTGAAAGATTTGAATCTATACAAAGCACATTCGGTCATTTTTCGTCATTCTTTCATAATCTCAAAAATCCATTCCAAATTAAAATACAACTCAATCTGATATCATTGGTATACCTATATATAGACGCCAAATAGCTGATATTAAGTTCCTGTATAAAATAATGAATAATTATGAAAAATGAGAAATAAAACTGTCTATGTTTTTGCTAGTTTTTCTCATTTTTCATGATGATCTACTACATAGTAATGGCTATTATACAATAAACATATAATGACAAAATATAATGAAATGACGTCAGTGAGGGTTACAAGACACAATAATCTTGCATAAATAGACATATAAGATGCATAAAGATAATTTAAATAATTATGATTAAAATACTCCGCAATATTATAAGGTTCCAGATGTATGAGTACCTTTTTTATTTCTATTTTGAACTTATTTATGCTGACCAATGCTTTTATTCTATCTGGTAATTTATTGAACAATCTAATGCACATGTATTGTGGGCTATTTTCAGTTATCTTGAGTCTGTGAACAGGGTAGTTGATATTACTCTAGTCCTAGTTTCATATTTGTGAGGAACGTAATTTATAATAAACAAAGATTAAAAAAAAAACAATAAATTTCATATTTGTGAGGAACGTAATTTATAATAAACAATGATTAAAAAAAAACAATAAACATTCATAAATATAAATTGCATAATTGGTCAATATATTGTTTAATCGGAAAATACTTCTGCATGATTCCCTATATGGTATATTCAAGATTATTCTTAATGTTCTCTTCTGAATGATAAACACTTTTTCCGTATCAGAACTGCTTCCACAAAACATGATGCCATATTTAGCAGCTGCTTCAAAGTTTGCATGATACATAATTTTCATTGAACTGAAATTTGAAATCTATTCTCATGGCAAACACGACTGAATTTAGTTTCATGCACAATTTTGTTATTTGCTCAGACCAGCCCAAATATTCATTAATGTAAACACCTAAGAATTCAGTGCAAGGAGCTATCTCTCTCTTTCTATTTTTCATATTTATGCTTGATGGACGTTCTATCTGTAGCTGTCTGGGACGAAACAGGATCGTATTAGTTTTTGATTCATTAAGAATCAATTTATTACTTTCAAACCAATGTTTGGTACCGTCAAATAGATTACTTGCATTTTGCATAAGATCAGGAAAATTATCACCCCCGCATAAAAGGTTTGTGTCATCAGCATAATTTGTAATAAACTGTCTTCTTCAATACTGGTTGCACATATATCATTCATGGAAATTATGAAAAATATTGGACCGTCAATACTACCCTGTGGTATTCCGATATTTGATGATGATATTTCAGATTTATACATTTTTCCTTGATTCTTAATGCACACTCTGAGTTCGTTCAGTGAGATAAGATTTAGCCCATTTCAGAGCATTCCCTCTAACACCATATCTCTCCTAGTTTAACCATCAACAGGTTTCTATCCACACAATCATAAGCCTTGGAAAGATCCAAAAACATTTCCAAGGCTAGTGACTTTTTTCCAAGAAATATAATATATTTTGAGTGAACTGAAAAATGGCCGACATTGTTGACCTTCCTTGGTACTATTTGAATTCTTCCCTAAATAGGTGTTATAAACTTAAAATTCTATATCCAAATCAATAATACAAACAAAAATACAAACTGAATATTTATCAATGGAACTGTACAATCAAATACCAGTGGAATGGAAGTATTACACAACTGAAAAATTAAAATACCAACTAAAACAATCATTGCTACTGGATCCACTATATGATATAAATGAAATTTTTCTTCATTCATGGGTCTAAATACTTGTCAAGAGTGTGGACTACAGATTTTGTGATTAATGTTTCTGTGTTTTCCATCTGTGTGCCTCTAAAGTTAAAACTGTTCATATATGTATAAGTGTGATTGGTTTAATATATTAATATTTTTTTTTGAGTTTGAGAATACTCTCTACAATATTGTGACGTACCTAAACAAAAAACTGTTGTGTGACTATTGTAACATACTGTTTTCTGTAAAAAAATGTGAAGGTGAATAAATATCTTATCTTGATAGAAATTAACATCTTTTCTAATTTCCTCTCAACCTTCACCACGTCTCTCGAACATTCATATATTCATCATTTTCATGTCTAACTATTATAATTTGCACTGCACTTGATTAACAACTTTTCATAAAACGATATTGCATATTATGTAATATAATCAAATTATTTACTGTTATTTTCACCTTATCATTTGTGAATACTCTCTCTGGGTTTGTCCTGTTTTGTATTCCACTGGAAATAAATAAATAGGAAGAAGGATAGATATCAATAACAGTAAAATTAGATATTTTTTGGCACAAGTATCAAAATTAATATACTATAATTGTTTCAGTTCACAATTATGCTCTAATGAATAAAGTTTAGATACTATTCTGGTTTCAAATAGACCAAGAAAAATACATTTTACGAGTGTTCACCTAATTAAAATATATCATTTCTTCACTCTATTTCATTTTAGTGAATACTATTTCATTGAATTAAGAAATAAAACTAATATTTTAAAATTATAAAAATCGTTACCACCAATCAGCTGCAAATATAATATTTTAGGTTCATCATATTCTACCTGTCAAAAAGTATACAACGAACTTTACCTCATGCCTAACTTTCTGATAGACCTTTGAAATATTGTCTAGTACTGTGAGGCTATCTTCTGGTTTGGCATATCCATTGAAAATGAAAGAAATATCTCCTCTTTCCCATCTCATATCAGAAAAATCAACAAGGGTGGTGTCTAACCGGATATTGGCTCCACTTTTATAAATTTTACAAATATCGGAAGGTAGAATTCTTGAAACTAATGGTACTGAAACAAAACATATATAATATAGTTCATGCAGCATCCACTAAAGATCCAATTGTTGCATAAAGTAAATAATTTAGATCAAATATTTATGAATACAAAGATATTAGGTTGTTTTGTCCGTTTTGAAGTCATGTGTTTTTGTGCTCTATACATTGATGCTGGTCATTTATTTTCAAATTTCAATATTTTGCCTCAGCTTATTGCTATATGATGTCAGCCTTTTTTTCTCTATGCATTGAAATTTAATCAAAGCATTGTCAAAACAGTCAGAAAATTAACTCTACGAGCGCCTTCTGCAATATATCTCAGAAATTGATAATAACGAATAATTCAAAAATAAGTTGACCTCGAGAGTTGATATACATCTACAAATCAAAAACCCCTTCATGATATAGTACTTCGGTCAACAGTAAAGTCCCTTCTGATTATAAACCCATTCCATGATATACATTTTCTGAGATATATTGCACTGTCTATGCATGTGTTGATATGGATTGCATGCAGTTCATCAGAACTTCTGTCTGTATTAATACTGCAGAAACGGGCTATCAGGTATATGTGTAAGATTAAACCTCGTGATTCGTGCAGACATAAATTCGTTGAGCAAAAGATTTTAACAGTGATTGCTTTGTTCATTTTGGAATCGGTTTGCCTCATTTACAAAAATATCTCCCTATTTGAGACTTCATGACATTCTCATAGCACCCATTCCACCGCGTTGAAATTGCCAATTCGCTTAACAATTTGGTCAAGAATTTTATTACAATGGGGTCAAGATGTTTAATCACTTGCCCTCAGATATAAGACAGACAAATTTGTAATGTAGTAATGAAAATATTACAAGACTCACCAAAGTTAGTTTAAAATATAAAAAGGCATACAAATCCAAACATAAAAAGATTATGAAAATACAAAAACTTTAGCAGTTGAAAATAATAAAGTCAAAAGGCTATTTCTGGAAATGATTCACATAAGTGAAATTAATAATAACTCAAACAAAAAATCAAAAATACAAAATTCAAGTCAAATCTACAATTATATTTTAACTTTTGATCAACAAAATGAAACAAATAATTTTATATACATTTTGAATAATGCAACTAATTTTCCTTTATTTTCAGTATTTTAATATTAAATTTCTCGGCTGGCGTCAATGTTTCGGTTTATTTCCGGTTTTTGACGTGGTCTTCTTTGGTTATAATGTTAGACTTCAACTATTATTCGAATGTCTATCGCGTTACTAGATCGCTTGGCGTACCGCACTGTAGCTTCCACTTGACTGTGTCGATATGTTCGTGACTAGCGTTTATATGTTGTTTTCGAATGCAGTAGAAATTTTGCCGGGATTCTATCGAAATCGGTAGCATCATTTTCGCTACATCTAGAGCGGCAGCAAACATCGTACATCCGCGCGCTCTTAGCTACGTCAAGATTGGTTTAAAGCTACCAGTGGCGGCCGGCGTTATTTTATTTCGGGCATGATTTACAACATTATATATAAAATCAGTCCGTTTACTACGTCTGGAATCCGCACGGACCCCGCCAGTAAAGTTGAGGGTTAATGAAAAAATATCTGTTATATAAGTATCCAGTGGATTGAATACATACCCCATGACTGAAAATCCCACTTCAGCTCCATATAAAAGTCATTGATTCTATTCAGAGCCTCAACTAGATTGGGACGTCTGTCTTCCATTTGTTCTCTAGATTGCTGCCTGAACTTCCTTACAAGAGAAGAGACTGAAAATGAGTGGAAACTTATAATAATCTTTATTTGAAATAGGAAAAACCTAATTTACATACATTTCTAATATTTTTGTTACAATTTTGTTACATATTGGAATGATTTAAAAATAAATGACAAACATTAAATCAATACATTCTGAAGTTGATCAATAAGAGAATGAAAGAAAATTGTAGCTACAGATAACAAACAAATAATAAATAATATCATATTTGCACATTGAAAACAAATTTCTTCAGTTCGTGTTCAAACATGTTCAGAGATAGCTATTTTTAATAACATTTGGTAATGTATTGAACCGATATAAACCCTTGAAAAACAAAGAATTCATGATGTTTTATTTCTGCTTATATATAAATTATTATTATTTCGAGTGAAGTGGTGGTGAAATATCATGATGAAAGATAATGTGCTGTTCGAACATGCCATGAAAATATTATTTAGATGTTTCATCAAGAGTTGTAAAAGGACTGGAATGATATCAACAACTACCAGGGCACTGATATTGCTTTTACACAAATTTCGAAAACACGAAGTATTGATTATTCTTTTAAAAAGGTGTATTCGTTTTGCTGTTGCTCCTCTTGTGCATATTCTCAATTTATCACTTATAAAGGGACATTTTTCATCAGATCTTTTTTGCACTGTGTAGTTCAACCTTGTTACAAACAGGTGATCACGAATTATTTGACAACTACAAAGCTATAACCAATTCAGCTTGTTCTCACAAATTTTTAAATTAGCAATGTATGAACATACATGGACTGTTCAAAAAATGAGGTAAATGTTCAAATTTCGCGGACTACGTACATTCGATTAGCGGCTTTACTCAAACAAATAATCACTTATTTTCGTTAAACCTACTTCATCACTAATATTCTTGTGTATGTTTTCGGTTATTACAAATCGCTAGTTTTAGTGCTGTACCATTAAATCTATTTTACCTGAATATCTTCAATTAAAGAATGGAGAAATATTTTTGAATATAAAATAGGTTCCATAGTGTAATAACATACTTGTGGGGCGATTTCCATAGCTAACAGCTTCAGCAAGTACCGTCCATCCTAAGCCATTTTTCACTTTTACAGGTGCATCATGTTTCAACAAAAGCTGGACACATTCTTGAAAAAGTAAGTAAGTAAGTAATATGTGAGATTATTTACTATATCTACCCAAAAAAATATTATTTTTGTTCAACACATTAAACACTATGTCAACGTTTACAATCGGGTCTCTGGCGCCAAATGTCTTTTTTGAATATATTGAATAAGGTATTTATCTCTGCTAATCAAATTGTACATCAAGTTTAACTTATTTGAGTCGTGGATAATTTACTAGATACGCTGAAAAGTTGTTATTGCTAATCAAATTGTACATCAAGTTTAACTTATTTGAGTCGTGGATAATTTACTAGATGCGCTGAAAAGTTGTTAGGCTAACACACAGTTGGCGCTACTGATATTAAATCTATATGATTTTCAGTTAACCCTAATCTTCAAAACTCACGTGTACAAATTTCCCAGCTGTTGGACTATCAGTTTGTGGGATAGAACATTTTGAGGGAAGCAACTATAAACATGGTTTTATGACTGCTATAATCTTTGTATCGCCCTCCAAGGCTACTATATTGAATGATGAAATCAAATTTTATTTAAAATGTTTTTTTTTCGGTTAGCCACACACACAGTGCTAGATTAGTTTGTGACTCTGTGCCATATATATACTATTCACACCAACAACGTATGTGTATAGTCTATGTAACAAGTTGACAGCATTACAGCACACGAGATTAAGGCTGTCATCTTAATTATGCATCAGATGTACTCTAAACAAGAACTTTTTACATCAGGCAGCTGTGAGTTCAGTTATCAATAAACTGCTGTTAATGTCTGTGAATTAGTAACTGTATATCAAGTACAAAAACATAATCAACAGCTTGAAGCACTAATAGAGGAACGTTTAGGATCAACGGAAGTGAGCGATAAAGAACCGTACCTTGCAGATTAAGATAATGACCCAGATTATATCGAAGAGAGTGGAATTTCCAAGTGATTTGGAACAGCTATCACCAGCAACTAGAATCACATTGAGTATATATTCTACCAATGGAGGTGAAGCAAAAGCAAGTTATTTGCTGGAAGAAGATTCCCATGAACCTGATAATGATGATCCAAAAGTTTGGGGCTACTTGTGAGGAATTTGAAAATCTTTTAATGAACCTGTTGGGGTTCCTGATGATATTGCAGCAAAAAATTTGGGTCAGAGTGTTGAAAGATTTTCAAAATTTTGTAACTGGTGATGTCTTTAAAGAAATTGTTGTGCAAACATTTATGCTGAAAAATTGTAATATTATTTTCTGCATCAATAAAAGCACGATTCCTTTTTGTGTTGTGGAAAAATTTCATTTTATCAATATCTGAAGGAAAAACGGCATGAATTTGGCTTCAAAGTTTTCAAGATATGTTCAAAGGGTGGTTATACATATCACATGAAAATTTATTGTGGTATGGTGAAAGTCGAAGGCAGTCCAGTAGCTACTGGGTAAGATGATAGGGGGACTTGTTGAATGAAGGCCAGATATTTTCACTGATAACTGGAATAACAGTTTTGATTTAACCCAGGAATTATTGGAATACAGGGCTCATTTGGTTGGCACACTTAGAAAACACAATTGTTTCTTGGCATCGCACTCTTATGCACTATAAGACTGTAGAATGTTACAAAAAAATTGGTTTGGAAGCGCTAACAAGACAACTGTTGTAAACTCATGGATCCCATACAATGCAGCCATTAATATAAATACACCTATTACAATATTTAGGGAAGACCGTTTCAATTGCAATCATTAAAAAACGAAGTCACTCCACAAACAGTTGTTGAAACGAAAACAACAACAAATAAACAGACAAAAAATACAGTGCAAGTATTATAATAATTTTATAATATCACATATTCAATAGCACACAACCCTCAACAGCAAACAAGTTCTATATATTTCTCCAGCTTGTCCAGGTCAATCACCAATTTGTGTTGTTTCATCAATTTTCATACTTCAAAACTGAAATAATACAATTTTGTGATATTTATGAAATTTAATCCTGCACTAAATCTAGAAATGTGCTATAACAAATACACGCTACGTATGCAGATTTAATATACACACGGCATAGAAAAGAAAGATCGATTATGTGTAATATCCATACACTTGGCGCCTTGTATTGACCGATTGTACATAATATTTTTACACACGGCGTTTAATGTGTTAAATACAAACCTTTCCTTCCCAACATTACTGCCAAGTGTAAAGCTGTATTTCCTAAAATAATTCAATAATGAAAAATTTACAGATTATTGCTAGGTTTTTCTTCTTTTACCATGCTTGTCTTTGGTAGAAACATCATGTTTCCTTATCAGTCGGAAGAGGTTTTGTAAATCATTTTCAAAAACAGCCTTATGAAGTGGAAAACGTTCTTTTTCATCTGTCATTTTCACTCCTTTATTCCTTTTCCAGTTATGCCTCCTTTCAGTTATCTATTGAATTTTTTTGAACAGATTGAATGTCTGAAAGATAGGCCCATTTCCCAACTGGGATTCAGGCACATTTACTCCATAATTAACTTATATTACTTCTGACATAGTAGATTATGATGTCTCTTGACATACAATTGAATATTTATCAAGATGAATTGAATATTATCGACGATAAAAGGTACTAAGTGATTTTCTGTTGAAATTAGATGTAGGTAACCCCAAAATGATAATTATAATTATGAAATGTAAACTCACTACACTTCGCCTTCTCAGTAATGGGACTAGAGAGATTTAATCCACTCGAAAACGTATCTAAATGTGAATTATTGAGGTGCCTCGAAATTAAATTACATATTTCACTTCTATTATAATAAAAAATGATCTAGTGTTGACATTGTTGCCAATGAATAGAATAACATTTTTATTTGAAAAGCATGTATTATTTTTATGTTGGCCACACAATGTATTTGCCTTCAGTGTTAGTTGTTATATATGGATGAAGTTTCTGTTGTCCATTTATGAGTTTTATTAGTTGGTTGGTTCATTTCAAAAGGATTTTGTTTGCAGCACATGCATTTTTTCTTAGTTGGTCACACTGTGTGTTTTTCAATAATTTAATTCATATCTAGTTGATATTTATACTGCCTATTTTTCAGATTTTATTTAGTTTTCATTATATTTATTTTCTATCAGTTTAGGTAAATTATTTGAGGTGTAGACAATTGGCTTGACATTCAAAATTAGAGACATATAAACAATATGGTCCTATTTAATAAGAGGAACAATTTATATTATAATATTGGCCACACTTGCTGTTGCAATTATTTTGAATTGTCAAGTATAAGTCAATCATCATACGTCTTTCAAAGAAAGCATTCATCGAAAATTTACAAATTTCAAAATAATTCATCAAATTTGCTCACTACTGCCCTGCTATTTTGAACAAAATAAAGCTGAATTTGATTTTCAATGTTTCTAATTGAAATAGGGCTGTCAACCATATAATACCAAATTCCTCCCCCTTTGTGAAACATAAAATAGCGTATTTCACTAGACAGTATTTCACCCATAAAATTGAAATTGTATGGTAATAACTACATAATTGTACCTCTGGCTAAATGCCCCGTACGCAAATAAAGGCCAGGGAAACGTAGACCTCAGCTAGACAAGGTACCCCCATACGTTGTGAGAGCCATGTTCCAACTGTCACGAGACGTTCGCAACGTAAGTGTTACAATAACAGATATTATATATCGAATACCCCCTAGATACTCCATCTGCCCTGCTAATTACCCCATTAATCACAGATCTGCAGATCGAGTACCTACAACCTTCCAACTCCCACTTGCGAGTACTCAAGGTCCCAGATCAGCCAGCAAAATTAATATTTTCGTAATAAGTGTAATAGTATGTAGGTATGCATACTTGCTAGCCTGAAAGTAGGTTCATTTCACAGATATCAACTGATGTAATTTTAACTTGATAATAATAATGAACGACACCATCATTTCTCTGAAGGAGCATAGGTACCTGTCGAATGATATTTCAGATATGTGATGGAATCGGCAGATATTTGATGAAAGTCCATAACGTATTCAGGCGTGTTTTTACACGTGTTCCCCTTCTGAGAAACTTTTTGGTGAAAATCTCACAATAAAGTGTTTTCTGAATATGATACTTCAGATGCTGATTCATGGGTTGAGCTGACGTCGCTTTTTGTTTAAAAACGAAGACGTGTAGATGTTGTTTGCATTTTCAACTCGGGCTAATCAATTTAATCTTCAGTGACGGTTTTTCCCAATGTCATCATTTCACAGAACGATTTATTTTCGATAAAATTGAAATGAGGGTACGTTTGGAATATTATTATTTCACTGGAAATATTTTCCAACTCTGTAATTTTTCATTTAATATCAACTAGGGCATGGCTGAACGACATTGGCATTAGAGATCATTTGTTTTCTAGTTTGTTTGTTGACAGTTGAATTCGTTTTTGAACTTTGCTGTTTTCTATTCGTTCTGTTTCAATTTTAATAATTTGAAATGCTTCCATATAAGTATTTTAGAGTTTAAAAATAATTAAATCATTTTTAAGAAAGAAACAGTTTAATCTCCTTAAACATAAGGTAAGTTGAATTTGTTTAATTTTATTACCAACAACCAGTAGGTACTTGAAATTTGCCAGAATGAAAACCAGTATTATCTTCCATTCAAATTGACTGTTCGACAAACAATTTTGTAATACTCGAATATCTTCATTACGTCACATTTGGCGCTATGGCGATCCCGACTTTTCATTGGTTGCAATAAGACGCCATTTTATATGGACGATTCGTAGCCGTTGAACAGTAGTGAAAATGTTTAGTTTTTGGATGATTTGTGTATTGAGTTAACAAGAATATTCTAATAATACAAGAATTTATGAGAACGTCTTTCGATGTAAGTTGTTTTTAATGTTATTATTAGTAACTATTTTCTTCTGTTCATTGTTCTTATGCCTGTAATGTAGCATGTAATAACTGCAGTCTCATATTTTGGATGCATTTCACTCCAAAGGGTTTGAGTTATCATTAAAAAGCTATGGTAATTTCAACCCTATGCCCCAATCCCTTTATACTTCAATTGCGAAGATTGTGGTTAATAAAAATAACTTTCTATTTTTATTAGAAATGAGTTTGAACTTTCATGACGCCTGCAAAATTATTGTATGCTAATTTATTTTACTTTGATTACAATTATGTTGAAAAATTGGGACTGAAATTGTGGAAAGTAGGTCACTGTCTAGGGACTTTTTAGCCTTTTCCCCACTGAAATTCTCAGCTGTCATTGTTTTGTTGTCAAGCTTTTCTTTTAGATATTATTTCTTTATCTAACAAGTTAACTGAGTTGATGCAGATTTGTACTACCTAACTTCAATTATTATTTACAGACATCTAACGGGGCTTTACTTAATCACTAGTGAAACCAGACAGTTCAATTTTTCCCGGGAAACAATAGAAATGTGTTCTAACCTAATTGTTGTATGGAAAAAATTGTAGGTATCTCCTGAAAGTGAACGAATAAGGAAAAGCTGAAAAATGTCGACGTCAAGTCAAAATAACGGAAGAAAGAGTTCAAACAGCTCTATTGTCAACACACCCTCCAGTACGCCCCTCACAAATGCTGCTAATGGAAATTCGCAAGTTAGCACACAAAGTTCTCCACCACCTAATAACAATGCTCCTAAATATGGTAAGTTTTTTCATCATGGACGACTTCTTACATATCTTGATAGAAATAACATTGTGCCTCCAGGATCAGATGGTATACATATGAAACTTTTAAAATACATAAATTTCAATTCCGTCTCTATGCTATTCTTCGCTCTCAATTTGTCTGTGTACAGGCTGTTTTCCGAATTTTCGGAAGACAAGTTTTCTGATATCCTTCTACTCAAATTTGATAAAGAACTATTGATTAATTAGAATATTGAATGGCATACAAAATTCTTCGAACCTATTGCTTGTGATTTTTTGACAACTCCATTCAAGATCCTTTCAGACAATGAACAATTGGGATTTTATACATGTAAATCAACTGAATTGAATCTTCTATCTTTGAACGATTTCTTGACAAGGGTCTTGGACCATGGAATGCATACTGACTTCTCTAAGGCTTTTGCCGGAGTTAATCACAACCTTAAAACTAATTAATACAGTTTTTTGTATGATTTTCACTATAAGAGGGTTTTACAAAAACCGCGACACATGTTTTGATTTTACTTTGAATTGTATAGAGAAAATCCCTTTTATAGTGAAAATCATACAATAAACTGTATTGATTAGTTTTAATATGGATTTTAGTCGGACAGTTCTATTCAATTAAATCACAGCATTTTTCTGAAACTCTAACAATTAGGTCTTATTGGTCCTCTCGTTGATTGGCTGGTCTATGGTTATATGTCCAAGGAAGTAGATGTTCTCTCTGGGTTTCCCAAGAACCCCACTTACGACCTCTATTATGTAATATGTTTATGATTTAATCTTTTATTCAATCACTATAAAGTTTCTTTTACTGTAATTAATGAAAATACATATTCAGGCAAATTTTGATAAATAAATGGATTGGGAGTGCCATTGATTGTATGGAAATTCAGTTATGAAATTAATGACTCCTTTGCAAAAAGTCCAAACTTATACATTAAACTTCATTATGATTTCCTACCACATAGTAAAGGCTTACATCCATCAATTGTTTGAATGAATAATAAAAAAAACATATAAAGGAAAATACTTAGTCATTGTGATGCAAATTAAAAAAAACATTCAGTGAAATATCTAAAAGACTTGCGCAGTAATCGAAGTTTAATTAGGTAAGTAGTAGTGAATTCTTGAGAAGAAAAACATTTTTTTTGGTAATTTCATCTTGTATATATTCAAAATGATTTTTCAGTGAAATATCTAAAAGACTTGCGCAGTAATCGAAGTTTAATTAGGTAAGTAGTAGTGAATTCTTGAGATGAAAAACATTTTTTTTGGTATACCTATTTGAAACTGTTTTATATCTAATTGGACGTTGATAATATTAACTTGACACGTGTTTCGATCATCAAGTGATCATCTTAATCATTTATTATGATCATTAATAATAACTTGAATGACGAATTTGAATGTTATGGAAATGGTCGATACTTGAGGAAAATCTATTACGTGTTCAAGTAACACTTTATTGTAAGATTTTCAATGACCAGTTCACAAAAAATATGATCACTTGATGATCGAAACATGTGCCGAGGTATTAAAATAACGGTTTGGTGTTGGGAAAAACTCTAGTCATATTTATTACTACACCAAAGGTTCCAAACAGTGCATAACAAGTACATTTAGGTATTAGTATAGGTATGAACTAACTCAAATTTAGGCGTTATAAAGGAAACAACCTTTCCTTTCCCAAAAAATTAATCACTCCTAAAAATATAACCCCTTCAATTCGAAACAACCTTCTTATTGACTAATGATTTTACCAGAGTTCAGGAATCTGTTTAAAAAATCTGTCTTTCCGTTAACCAGCTGTAAAAAATATATAAAATAGATGATCCTCATATGATCCATACTGACATATTAGAGAAAGCTCGATCATTGTTCACACCAAATGACTTGATTCTCAATGACCAAAAAATAGAAACTCTAACTTTTGAAACAATTTGCTTAAATCGAGATAACAAAAAGTCTACCAAATATTTGGGAGTACAAATAGATTCCAACCTGAAATGGATAGACCACATAAATAACATGTGGTGTAATCTTAGTGAGACGGTTTTTGCTATCATAAGAATCAAAAAAATAGTAAATCAAAGTGTGGCACTTGCAACATATTAATCTCTATTTCATTCAGTCCTTAGGTATGGTATAATCATTTGGAATAATGCATCAAAGGTACATCTTAATAGAATATTTGTCATTCAAAAATCTGCAGTAAGAAGCATAATCTCTGCCAATTATGATGAAAAGTGTCAACCAATATTTGTAAAACTTAAAATAATGACCCTATATTCAGTTATTGTCTATGAAAATCTGCTTCTTGTTCAACAAAACTTGTTGAATGAAGTTGCTCACAAGGATATACATGAAAGGATATACATGATACAAGAAATAGATCAAACCTTGTTCCTACAGCTAATAGGTTGAAAAGAACAGATAATATAGGAATTAAGCTATACAATGCCTTATCTGCCGAATTTCGTAACTTGCCGTTTAAAAGATTCAAAAACTTATTGAAGAAAATATTAACCAAACATCCTTTATATGAAATTGATCAATTTTTCGAAGTTATCCAAGAAGAAAGAGACACTTTTGTGGTCATCTCCCCAACTTTTACTCAACTTTGAATATATATAATACGTTAGCTATGTGTATATAATTTGTAAAAGCTCATGGCTTCACGTTTTAGTCAAGTCTTATAAGACTGGAATTTTATCTTGTTAACTTGTATTTTTTTTTTGTAAATCTAATTTATCTACAAGCATTTTTTTAAAACTATATTGACAAATCTTACCCTCTCAAACCTATTTTAGAAATTGTATTGACGTGCCTAAAAACTATGTGTTTCTTGAGACTAATAAATATTATTATTATTATGTCAAATAAACTTTTCACAAAGATGTGTAGATCATGCAAAGAAGACACTCTCAGACACAAACTGGAAGAAAAAGCACTTTTGAAACAAATACTTTCATATGAACATTGAATTATACAAAAACACTTTTTCCTATTCAGTTTGTACTCCGATTCGTTATGGAATCGAATCAGATATCATTCACAGAATTGCTACACAATATATTAAATGAAAGGTAAAATTCCACTTACGTGAAATACTGTTATTCTTCAGTGGCGGATATCTGATGTTCTGGAATAATACACTTGCCTTATTGTCTCTTCAGCATAAGTCTGGACAACATTACATAACTCAATTCATTCATAAAATTACGACTTTATGTGGCGAATGATTTAAATCTACTCATTTTATCGATGACAGTACGTAATGACATTCATTCGCTGATTTAATTTAATTCCAGCCATAGGAATCTTGTATATTTAACCCATTAGTGATATCGTATTTTTATGAATGGAGTAATCTTCTCCAGATTGGTGCTGGAGAGGCAATAATGCAAGTGTCTTATTCCGAAACATCGGATGTTCACCATTCAGGATAACAGTGTTCCATGTAAGTGAAATTTAACATTTTTCATATACTATACTGTGTAGCAATCCCGTGAATGATATCTGATTCAATTCCATAACGAATGTTTTGAACACAAACCGAATAGGAAAAAGTTTTTGATTCCATGATCATAAAAAGTTGTTTCAAAAGTATTTTTTCTTTCATGTAATTCAATGTTTTTATGAAAGCAGTCGTTTTGAGAGGGCTTTTTTTCTGTCTGTCTTTTGTGTCATCTTTCTGAAGAGTTCGTTTAATATTGTATTTCCGTGTATAAAAAAAGTCATAGATTTATAAGTTGCGAAGGTGAGGCTTTTATAAACAGTGGCTTACTGAAGATTGACATCACAGATTTCTGATCAGATGGAGAATTTGCTAGTTTTCTAGATCGATGTTTAACAAAAACCCTGAACTTCACACACCTTCTTCAGGATCATCCAACCAAAAAAATAGAATAGTATAAGTGCTTAATGGACTAGTCAGCACCAAATCTAGTCTAAATCTAAATTAAGAATAAACTCCGAAAGTATTCAATATGGGTGTGCTTATGCTCGCAAATATTTGTTCTGAGAATGAAGTGTTCTTTGTTTTAAGAAAGCATACAAGTCTTGTTTCAGTTTATTCATAACTTTTGTATATATATGTACATATCTTCAGATATATTCGTAATTTCGAGTTTGAAGTCGTCATATATTAAAGGCGAAATTTCGAGTTGAGAGTCATACAACAAAATTACAATTTTGCTCAACTGGCTATTTAACAAAGTCCTTCCGCAACAAAATTGCTTTGAAATAACATAGCTTATTTTACAATATCAAAAAAATAGATATAAAAATGAACAAACAAAACAATTTCACTGATAAAGTTGTGTTAATTTTTCTTACAGTGTTTCTGTTGGGTGTCGATGTTTTACTCTTGCATGGGGGTTTCTTGTCACAGCATACTTCCTAATGATTTTCAAATTATTGTCTTTTCTAGCAAACTTCTGAGTAAGTGACGGTAGTCTTTCCTCGATAGGGATAATACCAGTGAGTTGGTACAGCAGAGGGTTTGGAGGGTGTTGTTTGGGGTTATTGGGATGCCCTAATCTTGTTATTTTCCTTATAGCCGTTGTTTCAGATACCTCAATTGTTTTCAAGGCTCCTTGTTTGATATTGAGAAACAGTGGGTGCGAGTATTGAATAAGTGGACGACAGATTAGTTTATATATTCGGCTTGCTGTTGATATGTTTGCACCTGCTCCCGGGTTTGTCAAACTTGTGAAATGTGCGGCTCTAGCAATCACTTTCTTTTTTTTTTGTTATTGACGTGGCTGTTGAAATTTAGTTTGGAATCAAGCGTAACACCTAGGTAATAAAATGTCGATTTTGCATGTAAGATATGTTGGAAAACGTTAATTGTTGGAGAAGTTGCAGAATTCCGATGATTAAATATGATGAACTGAGACTTAGATGGGTTTGGCTGTCTGGCATATAAATAATCAAAAATCCCTTATCATACACTAGATAACTGGTATCAGAATTTTGAATTATCCAAAATCTACTTCCACAAAAATTCAGGGTAACCATAAAAGTGAGGATACACTTCAAAAACACACTTTTGTCTATTTTCCACGACATTTCTTTATTGTTGACTAGTTTTGGCTATTACACCATTTTCAAAACTAACTGATTACATTTAAATCTGAGTAAGTCGTCAATCAAAGAAGTAACCATAAAAGGTTTGATACATGGACAGATTTTTCATACATTGATCTGAAGTTATTTGTCTAGATAGTTTTTGAGATGTTATAACCTAAATTTTTGCCTGGAATGTGATTAATTGACTTAAAAATAACTTTTATAAAGCGTGCACCAAGAAAACAATTAGTGATAAATATGATAAGTGATATGTTACAACTCCTTCCAGAATAAAACATAATTTAATATAATCGTAAAGTATAAATATATATTGGATAAATCAGATTTACACTAATTAAAAAAGGTGTTAAATTTTCTGACACTAATTCTGAATTAGTTTGCTCGAAGTGTCTTGCTCAATATTACAATGAGTATTTAATGGACTCGGCTGATACTTGATGAAAAACCATAACGTATTCAAGAAACACTTTATTGTGGGATTTTCACTACTTAGTTTGAATAAAACCCAACACGTGTTTTGCTATACAATAGCTTCTTCAAGCGGGTGTTTACAGTAAAGGCACACCTGAAGAAGCTATTGAATATCGAAACACGTGTTGCGTCTTAGTAAAACTATGTAGTGAAAATATTGTCAATACAATATTTTTTGAATATATTACAATAAAATCAATGAAATTATAGAAATTCAAAGGTTACCGAAGAAAATTTGATTTCTTGGATGACTTACAATTGTTCTCTCTAAATTGAATTATCGATAAATTACAATTTTCAGGGACTCTAGTTCCAAACCGAATATTTGTTGGTGGAATTACGGCCAATACCACCGAAGGTGATTTAATGCAGCTCTTCAGTAGCTATGGAACTGTAAAGGCAGCAAAAATAATACAGGATAGAGCTGGCGTTTCAAAGGGATATGGTTTTATAACGTTTGAAAGTGAAGATGACGCCAAGAGACCATTAAAGGAAGCTGATAACATTGTTTTCAAAGAAAGGAAGTTGAACATAGCACCAGCTATCAAAAAACAGGTTTGTATTTACGATTTGAATCAGTGTAGAAACATTTTTGTTCTGCATTAAATTGGCGTGGAATATTGTTTTGAAGTATATGTTTTTTTTAAAGCCATTCAGTCGGGCATTTGATGCATCCAGTCCACCAAATGTAGCAGCTGGAAACCCTGCACATTTTTTTTTCCCACCCGGAGCTGCGATGCCATATTTTCAAGGGGGTGTTGCCTATTATCCACAACCTCCACCTGCTGCTCCTGGAGACCCAAATGCCCAGCAACAAGTTTACCAACGTAAGTATTCCTCGCTGAAAAAATTAAATATTCTCAATATATTTGTGATCCTCACTGTGGTTAATCAAATTAAACCAACTAAATTTACCACGAACATGTCTTCAGTTTCATTCGTATTACTGAAACTTGAGTTTTGGACAAATTTTCTAGAATTCTGAAAATGAATTTTTCCTTCGCATTAACATTTAAAAAGAGGTTTTATGAAAAGCAATTCACCATCTACTAAGAGGAAATGAAAATACCCTTGAACTCCGGACTTTTAGTTTGATATTCTTTGAAATCAAACAACAACAGCAATTTATTTAGAAATGGGGACCCCAATATACAAACAAAATGGCACAACTATAACTAAGACAAATATTAAGATATAAAGGAATATAAAAAATACTAAAGACCTAACTTAATTACAATCAATTCCACTACTACTGTCACATCCACTACTACTCCTCTGTATATATTTATTTATTTATTTATTTCAACGGACAAGCCAATTTTTACAAATAACTTTTTATAAATTGTACATGTGCTTACATTAAAAATCGTAATTCATGAATGAAGTGTGTGTATTTTCTATAATGTTATCCAATTTGGTACTGAAGAGCCTTAGGGCAAGTGTCTTAAGGCGAAACATCGATGTATACCAGTGAGGATGACAGTGTTCTATGTAAGTGCAATTTGTTACCATTCATTTAAAGTAGAACTCATGTGAATGATATCTGATTTTTATTCCACAACAAATGTTTGAAATACAAACGGAGTAGAGAAAAATATCTTCTGTGTAATTCAGTGTTCATATAGAAGTAGCTGTTTCAGGAGGACATTCTTTCAGTTTGTGTCTGAAAGTTACTTATTTGCATGATCTACACATCCATGTAAAGAGTTACTTATTTTTAAATTGATTTCTTCATTCCTTTCTTTGGAAGATTCCCTCATCCTTTTTTTGTATCAAGATGGAGTAGTAGAAAGCCAGAAACTTTCTTTCCCAAAAGATAATAATGAGTTATGTCAAGTATTTGTGTTTTTTGAACACTCGCATCTCATTCGAAGAAACACAAATACTTAGCAATATTCATATTTACTATTCAAGAGTATATATGGATAGGACATATATATGATTTCAATAGAAAGGAAGATTAACAATAATAAAATCTGGCTACCTGTCCTCAATTGCACACAATACAGTCATTTAATCGAACCAATAGGCAGTCAAGCCTACCGTTGATGGAATGAAACTGGAGACAAACTCCAATAACATATTATCTCCTGCAAAGACAACTAGAGGATTTTTTGCCTCATTGCCAGTCATTGACGAAACGTTAGGAACGAAAACCTGAAGACTACGGCCAACGAACCCAGAAAATAACTTTGACTCAAACAACTTTTCTTGTAGACACTTTTAAAATTGTTACCGTTATAGTGTTCTAGATAGTTGCATTTGTTTTCAGCTCCCACTGTGTACCCCACTCAGGCAGGCCCTCCTCAAACGGCCACCTATCCTTCTATGATGTTCCCCGCACAGCCAATTTACATGCCGCAACAGTATCCTATGCCCATACCGGTAAGTGTATAATTTCTCATTTCTTTACCGATTTAATCCACTGATTTTTTTGTGGCTTTTGTGAAATAATGTGTGTGAAAAATATTGTTAGTGTAATAATAACAGTTTCACAATACACTAAGCTTTATGTGTTTGTTACTAGTTTATTTAAGAGATGCTTTTGTATTCTCACTGTAGTCGAGGGATCATTTCAAAGTGTATGTGTGGATGTTTCTTCACTTTGAAGTGGAAACATAAAACATGTTCAACTCTCCAATAATAATGAGAATCAACATCTATTTGAATGTAAATTTCTGCTAGTTTTTATTTCAATAAGTTTTGATCCAAAATTGGGACTCATTATTTTATTATCCGTGATTTATTTTGATACTGTATTATATCATTTTGAAGTTGATCACACTGAACCACATAACAAGCAAATGTGAAATAATTTAATTTATGGCAGAGTTATTATTATATCATTATGTATTAGAATTTCATTAATTTTATTCAATTTATACGAGGTCTGTTGATGAAATAAGATGAATTTTCATTTTTCTCAGAAAATATTTATCATTTCATCAACTTCTATTTTGTCCCCTTTGAAGTATTTCTCCTCATATATAATACACTCGTGCCAGTATTTTTTCCAATCCACAAATCAGTTCTGATATGCACTTTTTTATGTCATTGAACCTGAATACAATCACTGTATGATACTGTCAACATTTCAAGTGTTTTTGAGCACTTTATTCCATTTTTACACAAAATTTGATGCAAATTGTTTGACCCTTTTTTTCAATAGAAGAAATTATCTGAACTTCAACAATCATATAAACAATATTTGTAACAAAGCCTTAAGAATGCTAGTATTCATCAAAGATATATACACTTACACGTATCCCGTGTAATTTGAACATTCGTCTTATTTTTTCAACAGACCTCGTATATTTATTAAAAAATTTATTAGATATTCTTAAAAAATATGATGTCTAATGTATAACTACTGTATCATAACATTCGGAAGAAAATAAAATATTCATCTATTTATTCCACCCTCAATGAAATGTAAAATTTGAATTGTGTGTGTAAATACTGGGTAATTTTGTCCAGTCCAGCAACTACATATCGGATGCAGGGCTATACCCTGTTTCCCAGCCGGCCTACGTATTGCTGGATGGCCTTCAGTACTGAGACCCCCCTACGCCCCCTGTCGTCCCTCTCTCAAGGTTTCTGATAGTACAAACCTATTGCTTACATTGTTGTACTTATGTGTTCTGTTCCCAAACAAATTGTTCCACTATGTAAATTGATCAGGATTATAGTCATTGGTGAAACTGGGTCAAAACCTCTGAAGTTTGTGGTTGCAAACAAAGAGATAAAAATGATCATGGGTTTCTTTAGTTTCTGAAAATTTTAGTTTTCATAAATTTCCTGATTTTTACAGGATACTCACTTAGCCAACATCCTGTAAATTATCATTGCTCTTCATAGAACTGGAACGGTTTGTATTTGGTGCATGCAGTTTATTATTTTTAGTACTTGTGATATGTGCCACTGTTTATGCTTTTTTAATTATTGATATTGGAGTTAGCTCGATGAAGAATCCTTCAAATGATCATCTGCTGTAGATTCATGTAACCACTTATTGAAATGCTCAACACGATATTCTGAGCTGTTCAAAAACTTATTTAAGATATTCTTGTTTCAAGATCTAGAACTTTACATAGGAAAAACAGTTCTTATTAGGGTTGAATCATTTATTAGTTTGTTAGATTGAAGTAAACCATCCTTTAATGAAATAGGTAAAGTATTCCTTATTATCCAAAATGATTTTTGGAATCGAACATTTTTTGATTGCCTTTTTAGGTGGATACCACTTCTCAGGAGACACATTTTAGTAGCTCAGTGCAAAGGACTTGTCAAGTTGAGAGAATTAAAAAAAATACATAGAAATTTATCATTCAGTTAGTTACAGTTAATTCTCTTTGAACCTTATGTTGTGTCAAAAAGGACTGAATTAACAATTTTAATTAATCGAGGCGAAACCTGGTCTAATTTCATGGTCATTCATTGTTCCTTATGGCTACAATTTTGTGGAATATCCTGTAATTTCAATTTATGATATTTTCCAACACGTTTCTATCTCGTTAAATAATGTCTGAAATGACCAAATTAAGAAATTTGAGCCACTCTGTATGAGATTTGACTTTGATCCTACCTTTGATTATCCTATCATCCAGATTTGATTCAAAAACTTAACCTGTCAATGGTCACGTGATTAAAAGTCCATTAATAATAATAATTAATATATATTCAAAATGATTTTTCAAGTCTAATTATTGGCAACCAAAGATGTTTGATTTCCTTAACATATCTGAATTATTTCATTATATATAAAGATATTCATGTTACTATGGATTGTTCATATATATAACAAACAAGATTATGTTATAAACATAATCTTGTTTGGGGATGGTTCAATACAAATTTTGGAATTCCCAAATTTAGAAATATTTTCAAGAGCTTTATTCACTTTTTTTAAAGATTTTTCATTATTTACTGCTATGAGTATGTCATCAGCGAAAAGATTAATAAAGTCCCAGTCTCAAAAATATGTAAAAGGGGTCTTAGGACATTGTCCTCGGGTACACCATTATAATTAATTTTTTACATAGGAAAAAAAATCATTGATCTTGGTAACTTGTGATCTTCCCATGCGAAGATTCTCAAATCATATCTCAACATCATGCCACTGATTCCACAATGATGTAGCTTATGTTGAAGTGGGAAAAAAAGTTTCGGCTTTCTACTTCTCCATCATTATTCAAAAAATGAGAGAATCTTTTTACACTCAGAATAACTGTTCAAAAACCAATATGCTAACAAATAAAAAATTTGAGGTATCAAATGTTGGCTTTGAAAAATTAAGGTTAGCTATTGAATGGGTATATATTTTTGTTTTGAATGTCTGGATCATTATAGGTATTGTATTTTTATATATTCCTATTGAATAAAAACGCACTGCATAATGTATTAAGTGTTAACAGTCCTATCGAATTAGGCCATTGGCAGAACTTTGACGTGCGGACGTTGTTGACGTTGATCAGGATCGGACCTCTTCTGTTGGCCAGTGCCCGCTACTGCCAACGCAATTTTCGGTACATTTTGTCGATTTCTTCACAATAGAACTCCGCTGGGTTTTCACTTTTGGGAAGTGCTCTCAAGTGGTTCATCAGTGTTCAATCACTGTCCTGAACGTCTTCTTTTGTAGGGGATATACTTTTTGTCGCAGGTGACAATCCGATAGAGAAAAGAATTGTATCGGTTGCACAAAAGCAAAGATAGACCTCGAAATGTGACAATTTCTATCGATCATGGGGTATCCACTTTTCATGCTGTTTGACCTTTCCAATACGTTTTAAATCATCATCCTGGATTACTGTAGGGTGACCACTTTGAGGCTCATCTTCGATGCTAACAACTCCAGAATGAAATTTCGCAAACCAACGTCGAACAGACCGTTCATTAACACTATCATTGCCAAATGCCTGATTAATTTTTTATGCTGTTTTGGCGGCGCTTTGGTTCAATTAGAATTGGTTTCTCCATGTGGAAGCAATGATATCGAGCAGTAGAAATTACATTTTTTTATAATATTTTCATTTTTTATCCAGTTTCTTTGAAAAATCCTGAAATGGGGCACTTTTGGTGGTACTCTGTGTGTAAACTAAACTATTTCTGTTTCAACTTGTGTTGCATGTAGTCCAATGTCAGTTGTCCATTACAGTTTTAGTTATTAGCATGAATGATATACAGTGTGTGTATCGAACTTTCATTAGAAGTTTGTGAGGAAGGACTGAAGTTAAATATTTCATATTGAAGTTTCAGGTAATAATAAATATGTTCCTTAATCTGTTTTATTTAACATTTGAATTCTCCGTAAAAAACGATTCGTAAATATATGGAATTGCATGAGTATATACCTAGCGATACGGGTTAGTTATACCATAAAAACAAACCAAATAAATTTCGAACAAAGTTGTTCTTCGAAACAATATAATGGAAGATTCCCATTTTTTTTATAGAGATGGAGAAGTTGAAAGCCAAAACATTTCATTCCCAAAAAATTAATCACTACTGAAAATATACTCCTCTCAATTCAATCTAGATATTTATGCATATATACAAATCTAAATTTTGAGGAAAAGTCACATCTTGATTAAAAAAGTGAGTTTTGATTCACTCAGTATCAAAAAAATGGTCAATATATTATCTAATAATGAAAATGAAAAGAGAAATTAAAATTTCTATGTTTTCTTCCAATTATATAATAAGTTTGAGAATGTCCGTATAGGACGAAACTGCAGTAACGATAGTTACAAATAAAAGTGGTAAAAAACATAGAAATTTTCATTTCTCTTTTCATTATGATCTCCTACCGCGTAGTAATGGCTACATCCATCAATTTAATAATGAAAAACCATAATTTTTCAATATATTAATTACATAGCAGATTTTGCAAATGAGTTTTCATTGAAAATAGATATGGTTGAAGAGATGAACTTTTTGACATTGTTTTTGGCATAACTTCTGAATCGGTCGGTTTATACTCAAACAATGTTATGTTTTTCTGATTATAAAAAGAAATTCACGCCATTCAATTTTTAAATAACCTATTTTTCATATGGTACTTGGTACTCTGAATATTGAAAAAAATTTTTAAAAAGATCAATGCATTTGGATCTACAATGGAGGATTGATGCAAAACACTATTATCATATATGATGAATAATCACAAATTTGGCATGTTTGTATTATTTAGGTATATTTTGTAGATGCTGACCGAATATTTGAGTTCAGATATATATATTTTTGAAATCTTTGTTCTAACAAAACATCTGGAGATCTATTTCCAACACTTCATGTTGAAAACCATTGTAATTTTTGTCACATTTTAAACGGCAATTATCAATGGCAGTGAAATTCCAAAATGTGATAGTACATTTAGAATCACCTGCTAAGGATAGGTCCCGAGAACATTGTTAATTTTGAATCTATATTATCAGAAAGACTATCGTTTTACTCTTTGAAATTGATGAATGGTTCACAGAAAGAAAATTTCTTGTGTTGGTAGTTTTGAAAATTACCATAACAAACTATTTATTTTAGAAAATTTTGCACATTTTTTAAGTTTTTTCATTGGCATGGCCTGCTCTTAGATACACTCTGTAGTTATTGAATATAAATTTCTGAAATCGTTTCTAGTATGACTACAACTTCTACCAGACAAATGGAGCTCCGCCCTCCGCACAGTATATTGTTGGAGGCCAGGGTGGCCCCGGAGGACCACAATGTGGCCCAATCGCGCCTTCCAATAGTCCCCCAAGGCCACCTTGTTATAGCCAACAGGTGAGTGATTTTTTTACTTTAGATATTCTGTGAAGGTGGATGTAAATAGGTTTCAAACTACAACATCGACCACACGCTTGATTTTCTCTTGAATTTTTTTTAATTTGCCTTAATTTTTTTTTCAAAGATGATAGAAAACGTGATTTCATTGATACTAGTTTGCAGTTTTATAATATGCAAAGCCCATTAGCTTTGATGTATTGACAGCAATATGATTTATATGGTCTACAAATCATAATTCCTCGTCAAAGATAACTCCTAGATCCTTCATTGAAGTGACAACTCGTGTCACTTCAATGAAGTTAGTGGATTAACATTAATGGAGTATAAGGTATGAAATTCTCTATTCACTTTATAAAAGCTGATGAAACTACATTTGCTGATGTTCATGTGTAGATTGTTTTCAATATACCACCTATCCAAGGTGTTTCAATCATGTAACCGAGGAACATCTTCCAATGGTTCTATTGGTCTGAACATTATAAAATCATCTGCGAGCATTAGAAAGTAAAGATGTTGAACAAAACAGGTGCACAATGAGACCCTTGAGTTACTCCCGACATTATATGAATGATAGTTGACTATCTATCTATCTATCCACACGATCACATGGCTTGAAACTTCAAAGAAATTTCCTGAAAATTGTATACAATTGTAAAAACTCCAATTCGATGTTTTTCAAAATTCAGTTCAGTTAGTTCAGTTTGTTTGGTTTTTCAGGAACTAATCATTATTGTCAGCCTATTCATATTTATGTAATTTATCCAAACGGCCATATTATTTTTTAATATTTATTTTTCATTGTTGGTTCAGATGAGATATTTGAACTTGAGGTATGATGGAATTATTAGAAATACCAAATCAGATGATGCTACATGATCTGATATACAATTTTGATATTATATTATCTTTTTTCAGATGCCAGCCTATAATCCAGCAGATCCCATGTTCTACAACATACCCGTCTATGGTCCCACAATGGAGGGACCACCTGTTTACACCGAGGCCTTCGACTTGGGAAATGGTGGACCATACGCAGAGGTGTGTAATAGAAACTAGGTAGTAGTATCAATGAATTATTTTTCAATCTCTCTGTGAGCTGTTCACTGTTGACACTTTTTTTTTGTGGTTATTAGGACACCTACAACATGGGTGATAACAACATTACACAACAAGGCATAGAGACTTCAATCCCGCCTCCTGTCTCAGTACCTGCTGTACAAACACTCACTTTTCCTACTCATAACATCAATGTTCCTCCTCCTCCTATTCCTACAAGCATTGAGTTGAATGTCCCCAATGCCTCTTCTCGGCACCAGATGGATCCTGTTGTTGCAGAAGATGTGTCTACACCTAGGAATTCAGACACACCTGTAGTTTCTATCCTTTCTATTAACGAACAGCAAGAAAAAGACTATTCATCAATGCAGGGTGGTCGAAGGGTTAAAATTCCCCCGCCAAACCTGCATAACAACTTTCAAATTCAGCACGCTCAACATCCAAATGGTTACATTAACCATTTTTCTGGTTACAACGGTCCACCACCGACTCAGTTTGGAATGTACAATGGTTATTCTCAGAATGGTCCCATTTTCCCGGACTATCGTCGAGTGAATGGGTTTGACAACCGTATCAACAAAAATAGAAGGCGTTCATATGACAATCGAAAATCCAACGATCACTCAAGCCGTTCCAGTATACGCACTGATTCCAACTCCTCGGCGAGTTGCGTTGATGAAAACAAAAATGAAGACAAATCTCACACGCGCACTTCTGTCAACACGCCACCTCCTGCCCCTTATTCACCGATGACCCATCAATTTAAAACTATTGCAAACAGCAACACAAGGAACCACCAAAATTCCTTCAGATATTATAATAATAATAATTATTACAAACCAGCATATTTAGACCGATCAAAAACAAATGACTTGACCACTCATAATAAACCCAGCAACAACTCCTCTAGTAATAACAGCACCTTTTCTTGCCCAAACTCCCCACAATCCTCCATTTCCCAGGTGCATATGTCGGCAACTCAGACCTTCGTACCGCAAGCTAGGCGCAATAAGAGATCTGTTAGACGTAGCGGCACCGGCGGATTGAACGAAATTGGCGCTGGCGACGCCCCCCTTCCCACTGAAGTCGGCGGTGAGGTGTGCAAGAAATTGGAGACGCTCAAGTTGTAGTAGGTGGGAGAAAGTCATTATTATGTATATTTTTTTCTATTTATTTAAGACTGTACAATAACTGTAACATATTATAAATTTAATGTAGACCTATGAGAGGGATATTAATATAATATATATTTATTGAAAAATGTGTAGATGTGACGATTTGATTTTGAGAAAGGATTTTTTTTGGTGGTACAGATGACTTGGAAACGTCTTGTCAGATATCTTAATGTGTCATTTCTATCCATGATAAATAATTGATGACTTTTCATATTGTGAACTTTGTTCAAGACGTGTTTCACTGTGCAGTACATTCTTTAGTTGAACTGGTACATTGAAGTATTATAGTTAGTTTATAATACAATGAGTGGTCAATAACGAATAATTCTAGAGAAGCAGGTGAGTTTTAGGAACAATAGAGGTCAATAACGATTGATTCTAGTATTTTTTTTAACAAATCCAATTGGGGTTAATAATTTTATTGTTTTCTTTTAATTTTCAGTGATTCCAACAGGTTAAATTTTGTCCTTTACTTTCTGTACGTAATGATCTTAGTTCACGTTCAAAGCGTGGTTGTTCTCTATGAAGTGGCGTGTATAGGTGGGATTTCTTTCACAATTTTTTTTTGTTTTCTGAAATTCCCGTTTTGAAACTTCTAGACATTTTTGGGCATAATTTACGTGTTTACTTGTCCTTACCGGCGTTAGAAGAATCAGGTGATTACAAGCTAACTTGTGGTTCATTCCCAAACGTTTATATTGGGAGAATGTCTAAATTTTGTACTTGGTGAAACTAAAAGGTGTCTGTCTGCCATCTTCAGAGATTAACTATGATTTCAACAAGGACTACGACATATTTGATACAAATAATGAAAGACAGAAACTGCACCTAAAAATCAATAAACATTAATCAAATTACCTATTAAATGATCAACAAGAAGTCGGACATTAACCCTTATTGATTTTATTTCTTGAAAATGAACTGTAATTAGTCGTTTGGACTAATTATTGTAATTAAGTTCAACTGAAGAAGCTACCATGTAATGAAAAATACTTCTTGAATAATAGTTTATATTATGAAATTTGTTTATTATCCTGGATGATGTTATTCTAATCAAGTAATGTTATTTCGTTCAAAGCCTGGCTCATTTCACATTATATTACACATAAAACAAACTTTTTTTAATGTGATTGATCTCATGTTTTGAATGTGTCAGAAAAAAATCCTTTTATATTAGTAACTTTCGAAAAATATACGTTTCAATTGAATAAAGTCAGGACAGATAAAACGAGAATAATATGATTTATGTGAAATATGATTGAGGCAGAATCATTGAATATCTAAAGAATTACTGGGGAACAAAGTAAGCAACCATTACCTCCAGAAATACGGACGGAAAGGTATTTGTAATATGTTGACTAAATCATAATCGATTTGTGAAAAAAGGAATATGATTTCAATGACAAATTTGACAAGTAATATTGGTTCATAACAAGTTTGCTTTTTATATATGTTGTCAAAATTATAAATAATAATGAAATGAAATCTTAAACATATTATGTAATGCTCTCGATTCAAGTTTTATTCATGCATTTTGAACTGATCCTGACGTATCTATCTGCTACCGCCGGATTTTCAAATAATTCAAAATCAATTTTTTAAGTAAACGACAATATTACTTTGAAGTGAAACACAGTGAGATGCCATTTGTAGAGGACATTCTGTAGTCTAGAAACAACGTAGATTTGTTTTAGAAGAAAATTTGTGCTCTAAGGTGCGTTACTTAGAACGAATCAATGCAAAATATAAGTATGTTATTTAATGTTTAAGACCACACAATCTTGCATAATTCTCATGTGTATATTTTTGTTTTTTGAGTTGTTAACTTTTTGTATTGAGTATATTTTTGTTGAATGATTGATGAATTACTAATTTGTCGCTCGATTTTTCCATTTCATTTGATTGAAAAAGGGCAAATCATTGCTATTTCGTTCTGTCTTCTCAAATTCTGAGAAAAACTTCAAGACATCTAGAGATAATGCAGGATATATATGCCAATAAAGAGTTCATTGGAAATTGGCAAATGATTTTGGTTCAATCTCGACATTTGGAAACCCAGTATATTAAACTATTCACGAGCTGTTGCCATTAAGAAGACTCCTATGTAAAAAGTGAGCTGACTCCGTACATTTGCAAAATGCACTTATCACAGAATTTACAAATTTTCATGGTAAATTGTTGATTTAATTCAGTGACTTATGTTGCATCTAACTATAACTAAAAAAAAAGCATTGAAATAAATTGCATAGGTGATGAATTTTATCTAACACAAAGATATCTTTCTTTGAAAATTACATTGTTACGTTTTGTAATTTCACGTTAAACAAAATTTAAGAAAACTTCAACCTTCTGAACAGACTGCAGCCCTTGCCGAATTTTTAGGGTGTCATTTGATACTCTTTAGAAAGTGGAAAATTAATTTCAGCATGCTGTCAGTTACAGGTGGTGCAAGGAAAATTCTGTAAAACCAAAACAACCCAAATTGGGGGTAATTGCCAAAAGTTCTTGCATGGCTTTCATAAATTTAAATACTAATTATGACTGGGATCTTTCCTAACCGAATGCCTTACAAGAAAATGAGGAAAACATTTTCATTTTTGCAAAAGTTACCTATATATGCAAGATTGATAAATTCCTATTCGATTTCCTGGTCATGCATTTGTAAACGTACAAGAATACATGACTTTCAACCCTAATTTTAAGTTTCATATAAAAAAACGAATTTCACGAAAGCGACACTTTTGCTTCAGAGGTTACTTTCTCGAAAATTTTTCCTAAGTGCAAGTTTTTTTTAGTGTGACGTTTGATTAGGAAAGAATCCAATCGTAATTAGAATCTAAATTTATGAAAGTCGTACAAGATTTTCATGTGCTCCATTCTCAAATGACGGCATTAACCTGAAATTCGTTTTTTACTTCAAGACTATGACAATCATAGTCGTTTCTTAGAGGTATCAAATATGGCTCCCTGAAAATTCAGCGGTTTGCAGTCTACAATTTTTTCAAGTGACCAAATTCAACACGCTTTTGAGCATTGAAAGTAATTTGAGAATAGTTTTATTTCCTCACTATCACGTCTTAAGTCTTCTTCATGGCAGCTTCCTTATTGACTTACTCTTTGTATCCGTACTTAATAATGATCTAAAGATGGTTTCAATCGGGAATGACGATTTTGTTTTGAGAGACAACGAAACTATTAATTTTAGAAATTGCTCATACTGCTGTTTATTCGTTAATATTCTATATTGCAAAAAATTTGTTGTAATGCAAGATGAGGTATAATTGTTGTAGAGTCTGCATTGACTATAAAACTAAATTTGAAGTGAGATCATTGCTCAAAAACATTTGGCTCTCTAATTTTCGAAAATTTTAAATTCCGTAATGAATGTGCAGTTTTAAAAAAACATCTGATATTGTGACTGTTGTCTTTTGAAATGAATACATTGATAGGGTTTTACGGTCACACATTTTGAAAGGGCCTTGAGTAGCAATTGATTTTTTCAATTTTTAGGCTGTGACAATTTAAAAATATTTATTGATGTTTTTGTAGTTTTTATACAGATTAAAAATTACTTGCAAAATACTTTCTCGAATATAAAGTGCTTCGAAGAGAGTTTCGCAATTTCTCAAGAAAGTATTTCTTGGCAATTATTCAAAATATGTCAATCAAAACGTCGATTTACGAACTTGAAATTGTTGAGATGTTTCAAAGAGCCTAAACACATGATTAGTAGAAATGTAAACGTTTTCTATGATTTTGAAAGGGTTCATTGAAGAGTATAACATATTTTTTCCAAAGATATAATTCGTGAGTAAGTTTTAGATATAGCTTGTAAAAATGATATATACATATTCTATATTTAGATTTTTAAGATATAGTAACTTATTGACTAGTTTGTAAGGTGAATATGAATAGGTCCATCTGTCATTTAAGATAAATATTTGCCAACATAGTGTACAAATTTATATTTTGAAAAGTGCAGATTATGCTTTCTTACTGAGTTTTTTGAAATTCCTCCCAACAGAAAAATAAATACTTTGAAATTATTATTTTTTTATTTTGTTGAATAATGTACATTGTACCTGCGTATTATTGAAAATGTATATATTTTGTTGAATATACAGGGTAAATGTAAATACACCGTTGTTTATACAGGAAAACTTTAACATCCTGTGGTGAAATTTTTATCAATCCCATCAAGAATATGATGTCATTGAAGTAATGCACTAATAAGTTAGTTTATAATGTTAGAATTGAAATGAAAGAAGTACTTTTTTATGTAATGCTTGTTCATCGTAACAGATGTTTCTAATTCGTAGAGAATATTTACTACCTAGAAATGAAATCATCTAAAAGAACATTTCGTTCAGGCCAGTCTCAACACCCTACACAGTAGGTTAATGTTCACAGGCAGATGGAGCGGCGACAAACCTGTTGTTTGTTGTAGTCTTCAGCTTAGTTCGAGGAATGATATACTCTGACGGAATTCGATTTTCAATTATCGGAAATCATCGACTTTATGTTGATGATATACACTACCTTGCACTGACGAGTGGCCAAACAGCCCGAAACCGGTCTGCAAGTGTGTTCCAATAATTGAAAATCTATTGCGGCAGTTGTATCGCCAACAGCATATGCAGGAATAACTTCAGTGAAGAATCCTGCACTGACACCTGTCGGATATAATCCAACGCCCTTCGTGGTATTAGCCAGGGGAGTAGTTGTTTTCTGATAGGTGTCAGTCCATTAACCTACTGTGTAGGGTGTTGAGGCTGGCCTGAACGAATTGTTCTTTTAGATGATTTGATTTATGCCAGTCTTCAAGTATGCCCACTGACTATACGTGAAATACCTAGAAATGGTAATAATATCAATGTAAATTCATATTTACGGAAATTTAACTATGAAAACCTTTCATTTCACGTTTCTAATGCGAATGCATTACTTCGTTGCCATATCCTGTATAAAATATTTTTGGGGTATATTTCATCAGACCCTGTATACATGAAATTGTTGTCTATACAAAATTTTATTCACCTGTGTTATATTTTTAACTGTATTGTGGTAAATTTGCACGATATTGACAAT